AGTCTTGGAAACCACTGTTTCATATATTGTCTGGTTTTTGTTGTTCTAGGTCAGAGGGTAAATCTGTTGTTCCATTATCTTCTGGAGTAAAAGCTTCTCTTATAGATTTTGATACATTATATGTTCATTGTAATTCATTTCAAAACTTTTTCTAAGGTCACTTGAGATTTACTATCTGACTTTTGGATTAATTAAATTGTGTTAATTATCAGGTGTTTGGAGATTCTCCTTTTGTTTCAGTTATTGATTTTCTGGTTTCATTCCATTATGCTCAGAGAATACACTTTGCTTTATATCAATTCTTTTACATTTATTAAGACTTCTCTTACGATCCAGGGTATAGTCACTATCGAACACCTTTACACATAAGTTTTCTATCTCACCATACCCTTTCTCATGGCAGACCTGGTACTTCATATGTCCCACCTCCTGCCTTCCATATCACAAATATAATAACCTTACAGTAGTATAATTACACTTACCCTCCCCACAACCCAGCTTCTGGTGGTTATAATTACATCTTTTCCTTCTATCGTTCAGCTTCATGCATCTTTAAACTGTAATTTTTCATCACATTCTTGCAATTCAGACATTTTAAAAATATATCTTTCTGCCCCATCTCACTTTTCCTTGTGAGTGTCCAGTTGCATGCATGGTAGGCTGTTTGATATTGCTGCACAGATCCTGGAGGGTCTGTTCATTATGAGATCATTTCTGCTGATCTTTCAGGCCACTGGCTCTGTTTTCCTCTCTCCAATCTGCTAGTAAGCTTATCTAGTAAAAATTTTCAATTTTTTTAGTTTTAATATTTCTGTTAGTTTCTTCCTTATAATTGCCATTTCTGGGCAGATTCCTTATCTATTTACTTCTTAAGACCATGCTTTCCTTTACTTCAACTATGGATCACATTGTTTTGTTTTCTTGTAGGCCTAAAGGGCTTTTTATTGACTATTGTACATTGTGAACAATAGTCTGGAGTCTCTTGTTTCTCCTTGAGGCATATGGGTTCTTGTTTTAGCAGGCAGTATAATTACTGGCTAAGGACCTTACACTTGATTATACTTGGTTTTTTGTCTTGTCTTTACACATCAGCAAAGAGCCTAGAGTGTTTCCCAAGCCCCACTAACTTGGTGATACTCAGCCTCCAAACTTGTTTCCTGTGGATCTTGTCATGGTTTGATTTTAGAATTTATTAAGGCAGACCTAGAATAGGCCTTACTCTAGACTATGATCCTTACTTCACGTTTTAACCTTTCTGCTGTTCCAACTGGAGTCCAAGGATGTTAAAGATGCACTTTTTGGGGCGCCTGGGTGGCTCAGTGGGTTAAAGCCTATGCCTTCAGCTCAGGTCATGATCTCAGGGTCCTGGGATCAAGCCCCACATCAGGCTCTCTGCTCGGCAGGGAGCCTGCTTCCCCCCTCCCTCTCTGCCTACTTGTGATCTCTATCTATCAAATAAATAAATAAAATCTTTAAAAAAAAAAAAAAAGATGCACTTTTTGAGATCTCTCCATTTTTGTAGGGCCGTAATTCTTACTCCAGGAATGTTCTAACTCTAATATCTCTGTTCTAATCTTAACCCATTTAGTACTTTGCTTTCTAGTAAGCCTCAAGGAGCCTCTCTGTGCATATACTGCCTGGCTGCATTATTCAGAGTTCTCCAGAGAAACAGAACCAATAGGATGGATACACACACACACACACACACACACACACACTCTATCAGGAATTGATTCATGGAATACGGAAGCTGAGAAGTCCCAAGATCTGTAGTCGACAAGCTGGGGACCCAGGAGAGCCAATGGTATAGTTTCGGTCCAAGGCCAAAGGACTAAGAAGCAAAAGAGCCGATAGCATGAGTTAGTTCCAAGTTCAAGTCTGAAAGGAGAGAGTAGATCAATGTCCCAGCTAGAAGCCAGGCAGAGAGAATTCTTACCCAGGACTTTTGTTCTATTCAGGCCTTCAGCAGATTGGTTGAGGCCTACCCACTGTGGAAGGGCAATCTTCTTTAGTTTACCAATTCCAATGTTAATCTCATCCAGAAATACTCTCATAGACATACCCCAAAATAATCTTTAACCAAGTATCCGGGCACACTGAGGCTCAGTCAAGTTGAGACATAAAATTAATCATCATGCCAGCCTTCAGCCACACACTTTTAGGGGATTCACACATAGACTTCTGCAACTCCCTGTCTGCATGACACCTTCCTCTCCATTGCTGTGTCCAGTGGTTTCCAGTGGTTTCATCTATCAAGTCTATTTTTGCCTCCTCAGCCCTGTGGGATCTCCCTACTCTGCTCATACTCCAGCTGTCTGCACTACACTTGGGAAATTGTCTCTGCTTAGAGGAACTCGGTGATTTTCGGGGCTTACTTTATGAGTTTCCTCTCAGGGATCAGTCTGGCACTTCCTGTTGTCTGAAAGTAGTTGCTTCATAAATTTTGTCCATTTTCTTAGTTGTTCATGGCGGGAGAACTAGCCTGGAATCACTTAATTATGGCTGGGAAGGTGGTTAATTTTCAGTTGCTTTTATGGTATTTCATTATATGAATTATGCCACTGTTCCTCCATTCTTGGTTGGTAGACATTAGGCATTTAGGTGTGTTCAAATTGTCAATAATACAAATGATGCTGCAATGACTGTCTTTGTACCCAGAAATGGAATTGCAAGGTTATAAGGTACCTATTTCTTCAGTCTCACTAGATATTGTCACGTTGCTTTCCAAATTGTAGTTTTACATATCTACAAATAGCACAGCATTCTATTTGTTCCACATCCTTCCAAAATTTAATCTTGTTGAAGTATTAAATTTTTCTACTTCTGCAAAGGAATGCAAAATGGTTTCTTGTTACTTCAGTAAAGATTTCCTAGGTTACTGAGGTATTTACAGATATACATGTACATATGTATTTATTATTATTGGCCATTTGGGTTTCCTATTCAATAACATTTTTATATCACTTGTCCTTTTTTTACAGTTGAGTCTTTGTGTAGTGATTCTTAGGAGTTCCTTATAAATTCTAGTTCCTTGGTTTTTAAATGAGTTATATGAGGTTTTTTTGGTTTGTATTAGTTGTTTCTTATCAGTCTTAGCTTGTCTTTTAGCATCTATGTTGTCTTTTCCCATACAGAAGTGTTAAATTTTAATGCAGTCATATTTATATTTTACTAAATGAGTTACAGGTTTGTGTGTCCATTTCTTCAACCTCTAAACACTGGGGTGTCCTGAGGCTCAAGTCTCACCTCTACATCTGTATTAATTCCCAAGTAATCTTAGTCTCATGGCATGTGTACACTGATGGCTTTTATGTCTGGCTCTTCCTCTGAATATCAGTAATATATGATAATTTGCTGAACTAGATACTTTCTTCTTCCTTATCCAGATTCCTTGAATGGGAATTTTGCACTCACTGCCTCTACTTCCTGGTTTTCCGTTCACAATTTAACTCACTGGAGCGCGGCTCTTGTCCGGCTCTTCAACTGCTTCTGCAGAGATTTTTTCCTAAGTAACACAGCCCATCCCATTTTCTTTTCAAATGAAGTCTTTCATTAAATCAAACAGACAGAAGCAGAATTACATTTGCAATGGGTTGGGGAGAATGGCCTGCCTTTCTCATCTCTTTAGGTTCCTCCAGAGGCCTCTGTACTGAGCCGTGCCTATCTTTCTAACCTCTCTATTCCCTCAAACCTCCTGATCTCCAGCCAGACTCCTTTCCATCTCTGTGCTTCTGCACAGTGCTCCTGCATCTGCCTTGATTTAGCCCAGTTCTTGTTGGCTCAAGAAACACCTCCAAGCCTATCTTCTCCTTTATTATTCCCTCTCTTTTCTGTTCCTCTGTTATCATGCTGGCCACAGTGAACAGCTTTCTACTTACACATCTTTCTTCTCCACTAGAGATCAGAGACCCTGTCTTTTCATGTCTATCGGTAGTGGAGTGAATGAATGGCCGAGGAAGCTGAGGTAGATCAAAATCTGAATTGGGAGACCTCCAAGACTTTTTTTTAGATGGTTTTATTAAGATAAAATTCACACACCATAGAATTCACAGGGTTGTGCAACCCCACCATAATCTAATTCTAAGACATTTTTTGTCCCCCCCTCAAGAAAACCCTACCCTTTAGCAGTCATTCTCCATTTTCCCACCCCCAACATGTTCCCCAGCCTTTGTCAACCACCCATCTACTTTCCCAGACCATCATATTTAACATCGTTAAATTGATCACAAATCCTCAAAATCTACCCGATTCTGAACCATGATGTGAAATTTGGTAGGTAACTGTCCCACTTAACCAATTTGTACGGAAGGAAATCAAACTTAGCTTGCAGCTTCAGGTTTGATCCGCAGTCTATGATACTACTAGCCCGCTTGATCGGGAGTTTATTAGAATTAGATCCACATTTAACAAGGGTGGCTGGTCTGGGCTGGTCTGGCTTTTCTCTGTTGCTGTGCATGTAAACCCCCTTTGGCCGAAACAGGGCAGCTGAAAAACTCACCACCTCTGGTAGCAATCGTGAAAAAAGTGCCCGGTAACCACCTCTTCCGGGGAGTTCTGCCCTCTAGAAAACAACAGGGATGGAGCATTACGTGAGCGGTCGCTTTCGAGAGCTTTTATTTTTAACGCGACTCTTCTACCGGGTCACCTCGGGGTGGCTGCCGCTCGGTGGGCGCGCGGAAGCCTCCGGAAGACTACCTCTCGGCTTCTGGAGGCCGCAGTTGCAGAGCGGGGTCGGGTCTAGCGCGTTGCCAGGCAGCTGCGGCGTTGCCCGCGGCGGCCGCGCGTACGAGTCGCCTGCGCAGTGACGCAGCCGGCGCGCGGTGACGCGGCGCGCGGCGCGGTGCACGCTGGGATATTTAAGTCTTCTCCGCGGCGCGGAGCCGCGATGTCTCCGGCGGCTGCGGCGGCTGGCGGAGGCGAGCGGCGGCGGCCGATAGCGAGCGTCAGGGACGGCCGGGGCCGGGGCGGGGGCTGCGGGGGCCGGGGCGGGGCGGCGCTCCTCGGCCTGTCGCTGTTCGGCCTCGTGCTGTACCTGGTGCCGGCGGCGGCGGCGCTGGCCTGGCTGGCCGTGGGGGCCACCGCGGCCTGGTGGGGACTGAGCCGCGAGCCCCGCGGTTCGCGCGCCCTCTCCTCGCTCGTTCGGAACGCGCGGCGCCAGCGAACCTTGCACGCCTCGCCTCCAGCCAAGTCGGCGGTGAACGGAAATCTCCTAGAGCCGCGGACCCTCCTCGAAGGACCCGATCCCGCCGAACTGCTCCTCATGGGCAGTTACCTGGGCAAGCCCGGCCCCCCGCAGCCTGCCCCCGCCCCGGAGGCCAGGGACCTGCTGGAGAGGCCTGGCCGCCGCCGCACTCCCGCCCGCGCCGCGCCGCTCGCGCACTCGGCCCATCGTGTGCATCACATTCACCCCTCTCTCCCCACTCCTCTTCTTCGATCCTCTAGGAGGCCTTCCCACCGGTAAGATCCGCTCAACTTCCCCACACCCTCCTCTCTCTCGACCGGCTTTGAATGGAGAGCTTGACTTTTAAATCCGATTTTCTCTTTCATCAAGTCAAAAGTGGATTCTGTGTCGCTTTGTCCTCTTGAAACACCTTGCTGTGTGTCAACCGTCCGCTGCCTTGGAATAAGATGTGATGCCAGAGTCCTTCCCTTTTTTACAGTTTTTAAAACTGAATTTTAATACAGCCTTTCGAAAAACACTTGATAAGCTACTAAAATGTCCCTACTTCTGGTGAAAATATCTTGATCTTTCTAGAGTAGTTATAATAGTATGTTTTGCTGTATTTTTTCTTTGAACCAATAAGAGCAATTAGGTCCCTTAGCCGAGCTCAAAGAGGTGTTCTCAGGAGACCCCTCTTTAATAAAACTTGATTGATAAAGATCCAATTAAAAGGGCATTTCCATTTTGTCCCAGTAGCTGACCATTACAAGAGAATACAAAAGTTTGGTGAAAATATTAGATTATCGATTAGTACATTTAGTTGAAAGATGAACTTAGGTGTCAAAATGTTTGACTTTTGGCGATTATTACTTGTGACTCAGCATAAAAGATTGAAAAGATCTACAAATTCTTGAAAAGTCCCTCCTTGCATGCCCTAACACACACTTTTCTTTCACTACACTTTTTTTTTTCTCGTGTGGGCAGGGTTTTCAACTTTCAATTGTTGAAGTCCGTTATAGGGACAGCTGCTGAGCAGCTGCCACTTTCCATCCTTACGTGGAATGGGGGAACATTGCCATAAAAATGCTGTGTTTTTTGTGGCTCAAAAAGCAGTTTAAAGGGGCGCCTGGATGGCTCAGTGGGTTAAGGGTTAAACCTCTGCCTTTGGCTCAGGTCATGATCTCAGGGTCCTGGGATCGAGCCCCACATCAGGCTCTCTGCTTGGCAGGGAGCCTGCTTCCTCCTCTCTCTGCCAGCCTCTCTGCCTACTTGTGATCTCTCTGTCAAATAAATAAATAAAATCTTTAAAAAAACAAAACAAAACAGTTTTAGGGGCGTTTGGGTGGCTCAGTCAGTTGAGCATGCAGCTCTTGGGTTAGGCTCAGGTCGTGATCTCAGGTTTGTGAGAGGAAGTCCTGCATCAGGCTCTGTGAACTCAGGGCGGTCTGCTTGAGATTATCTCCTCCTCTTCTTCTGCCCCTCCTCCGCATGTGCTCAATTTCTCTAAATAAATAAATCCTTTTTTAATTTTTTTAAGTGGTTTAAGCTCTCTGGAAGATAACTGAACCCACATGATTCTCCAGTAATTTACATTTCTGCCATTCCTTCAAGCTTCTTTGGTTCTATAATATGTCTCCTGTTCTCCATAGGGATTGTGGGACTTTATCAAATCGCTTTATGATAACACCTCGAAGACGCTATCCAATCCAACAGGCCCAGTATTCCCTTCTGGGCGCTCTTCCTACAGTGTGCTGGAATGGTTATCACAAGAAGACTGTGCTGTCTGCTCGTAATTCCAAAATGGTGTGCAGCCCAGTGACAGTGAGGATTGCTCCTCCGGATAGTAAATGGACTCGTTCACCATTGTAAGTGTTACTACTGGCACACTAAACCCCTGTTTATTTTCACTTATTTTTCCACAGCTGTTCTCTGACCAAGCAACTATAAAGCAAAAGGAAGAAGTGCTTACTTGAATGAGAAATCCCTGACTCTAGTCCTTGAACAGCGTTTTGTTTTATTTTGGGCTTAGATTGTAGCTGTAATTCTAAGAGCAGTTTCTGTCACTGTATACTTTTCCTTATTAGTTAGCTTCTGATTTCCAGTGACTGAAGTCTGTGCTGTATGGCATAGTTATTAACATAGTTTAATGCCAGAATCTTGTTTTTCATTATAGACCAGAGCAGACAATCAACTCAACACTGTCCTCACCATCAAGTAATGCCCCAGACCCATGTGCGAAGGAGACCGTACTGAGTGCCCTCAAGGAGAGGAAGAAAAGGACCGTGGAGGAGGAAGACCAAATATTTTCTGATAGCCAGGAAAATAAAAGAAGGTAACAGGCCCCGCACAGTACTCAACAGGCCTCTGACACAGACTCCTGTGATTTGTTGAAATATAGATCCTGCCCAAAAAAAACCAGAGGCCACACCTCCACATTTTGTGAGCCTCAGTAGGTGCCCTTTTTGGATTCTATAGAAGAGCTTGGTAACAAGGGCTTGAATGCTGTTAACTTCCTAAGGTACAGGTTAAATGTTATAACTTACCTTTCCCATGAGTACTAGAGATCAGGAGACAGCTATTAGCCATGTCAGCCTCATACTTTTGATACAAACGTGCTAAATTTTATTATTTCTTTTAGAGAGAATGCTAAAAATCTTCCCTTCACCAACTTATGTCGCTCAGTTATTTGGGTAACCATCATTCAGATGTCATAGTGGTGCCAAAGGAAGTGCTTGGGGAGGAAAACTCACGACTGGAATATGGTAGATTTATCAGTAATGAGAGTAAAACCAATTCCATTATTTGGTTTCTGATACTTTAATGAAAATGGCATAAGCAGTCTGTATCCTTGGGGGGGGGGGAGCGGAGGGGCAGTCACTAGGTGTGACACATAACTGCTTTCCAAGACTCAGTTAAGGGTTTCACTTATCTTTCAATTTGGCAGACTGAGCACCTAGTGTGTGCCTGGGCCTACTCAGTACTGTGGATAGAGCAATGAGTAAGACAGAGTCCCTATGGGACTTGGATAATAAAATAAGGAATTCTAGATTGTACGTGTATAGAAGTAAAGAAAAGAAGAAACACGACAGGATGATAAACAGACTAACGAGAGGGGGTTTCTTCGTGTACGTTGCTCCAGGAAGCACTCTGAGGAGACCATGGGCCGCACACTCGTTAAATATAACCATTACCTAAACCAGACTGTTCATATCCTACCAAGTTGGCTCTCTTTGGTACTACCAATGCAGAGTTAGGTGGGGAGACATTAATAAATGGAAGTGTTTCTATGTGACACAGGAAGATCTAATGATGCATACAGATGGTTTTTAAGTGAGCAGTGTGAACCGATGTCCACAAGCTAAGCAGGGGTGGCCAGGAGCGGGGGATGTGGAGGTCGGAGAGGGAATCCTCGTCATTCTTACAGTCCAGATGAGTCTCTCATACTCTCCAAGGTTAAAATATTTCTTGACTCCAGTGAGCCTGTAACTGAGGATTCTGTATCATTTCTCTCACACTTGGAGTAGGCAGTGATTATGGGGGTCATGCATAGGTCCTTATGTGTGATATGTGAAGTTTTTCCCTAACAGACTTGCCATATTAACATCCAGAGCACTATGGGATGTGCGGGTTAGTCCCTAAAATGTTTCTGTTTTTTGTTTTTTATTTGTGGCTGGTAGGGTATTAAATTTGTGATTGTAATACTTTGGAGAGAAGTTAGCAAATAAGACACCTGAATAAGTTCAAAAGGTCTTGAAGCATTTTTGTACTCATTATTATGAGGAGAGTCTTAGAATGAATCTACCTTTTAGAATCTTTAGGGTTTGAAGCAACCTTGTTCTTGTCTAGCCATTTCTACAGGCCACAGAAATACTTTAAGGTTCCAGGAGTATGAGAGCATGCTCTAAGAAAAAAAAAAAAGTCAGTTCATTTAATTGAGGGTTTTTTGATTTGTCACAGGCGCCACGATAGCAGTGGGAGTGGACATTCAGCATTTGAGCCCCTGGTGGCCAATGGAGTCCCTGCTTCTTTTGTGCCTAAGTAAGTGGGAATCGATCTGAATGAGGTAGATGGGGGAAGGGCATCGTGAGAGCTGTTGTCCTATAGATTTTCCTCTGTGTTTTTGCGTTGCTTTATTAGTCCAGGCTCAAATCTTTGACTTCAGAGAAGAACATTTTGAGTAATGTCCCACAATAACCATCTTCTAATTTCTTTTAATATTTTTTCATTAATACGGATAAAAATATGGTAAGGATAAGAGAATTTGTATATGTATTTAATAACCGTGTATAAAAACAGGTTTGTGCATTAGTTAAAGTGCAGCAGTATGAAATGTAAGATAAATGTTAAGTTTGTACATTTGAGTTTAAATACATTTAGGGTTTGGATGAGAGGGAAAGTGTCTTGGAAATCTGTGTGAAAAGACTTAAGGTAACTTGCATGCTTATTGAGTCAGGAGTGTGCCGAAAGAGCTGGTGTGCTCCCGGCCTGTGCTGATAGCAGAACAAAGACTAGAATGGAGCAGGCGGGGGCTCCTTCTGTCCTCACTTGTGCTCCCATTGTCTGTGCAGTGTTGTGCTTGGTTCGATGGCCGGCACTGTAAGGGACAACAAACAACCTGACGTTCATTCCGAGTGAAGCAGTTGTAAGATGTTACAGGGTGGTGACCGTGTATGAGTGGGCTTGGAGGGTATAAAGTATTAACCCAAGAGAGAAAAGTCTCAAGGGGAATGAGGAAATGAGGGTGGGCAGGATAATGGTTACCAAAAACCAAACGGCAGTTGCATGAAGAAAAGGCTAACATTTGTTCAGTTGGGCTCCAAGTAGATCTATAGGTGGAAGTTAGAGGAAATACATTTTCATCCAGTGTAAGTATCCATGGTTGACATTCCTCACTGTAGGAGAAAGTGAGTTGTCTACATTGTAACAAAGGTTGGATGACTTCTACATGAAAGATTGTTTAGGTTGGAAGCTTAGAAAAAGTGGTTGGTTCCTCTTAACTCTGATTTTTTTAGTAGGTTTATTGAGGTACAATTGACATTATAAAAAACTGTGCCTTTTTAAAGTGTACAATCTAGGTAAGTTCTGACGTGTATATACCTGTTAAATCATTGCCATAGCAAAGGTAATAAACCTAATAGTCACCTTCAAAGTTGCCCCATGCCCCTTAGTAACACCTTCCTGCAGTCCTGCCCCTAGCCCCAGGCATCCACTGATGTGCTTTTTGTCACTGTAGATTAGCGTGAGGTTTTTTTTCTAGAATATTGTGTAAGTGGAGTCATGCATTTAATTTTTTAAATACATTTAAATATTTGGCTTTCCCTTCCTGACTTTGTCTGAGATATTTAGCTGAAGTGGTAGCAATAGCATTAAGAGCTTTATCCTTTTTAATTAAGTTTATTTGAGAAATATCTTGCGACCATGGATGAAGCCTTTAAAGAATGTTGCCTTAAATGACACACTCAGTGTCTTTTTCTCTTTTGTCAGACCTGGCTCTCTGAAAAGAGGTCTTAATTCCCAGAGCTCCGATGACCACTTGAATAAGAGATCTCGCACCTCTTCTGTGAGCTCCTTGACGAGCACGTACACAGGTGGCATCCCTAGCTCCAGCCGCAATGCCATTACCAGTTCTTACAGTTCGACTCGAGGTTTCTCTCAGGTACGTTCTTCTTGTGGCATGGGAGAAGGATGTTCCGAGCATTAACTGATGAGCCCGTGTTTACTAACCACGTTCCACCTGTCAGATACTGGGATGACCTCTGAGCTAACAGAAGATGCAAACCCTGGAGTGATAACTTAGATGCAGGGAATGGGATAGAAAGCCCAGAAAGTAAACCGGAGCAGATGGGGACAGTGGATACAAAACAGCCAGGATTGCAGATAAATGGTCAAAGAATGAGTAATTCAATAAATGGTATTAATTTGATCGAAAAGATAGATTCAGTCCGATTGCACTGGATCATAAAAAAAAATTCATCCTGTCGTCATTGAGAATTGAAAGTTTTTAAAATATTGTAAATTTTTTAAAATTCTTTTTTAGAAAAAATTGTAGTTCTTTTCTTAGAGGACGCAGTATGGCGTAGGAACAAACAGAGCAAGCTTTGCTGCCGGACAGACTTGGTTTCAGATTTTCGCTTTGACACTTCGTAGCTTATAGGGCCTCGGGCTGGTAAATCACTTCCAACTTTTCCCATTTCCCAAGGATTATTATAAAGATTGAAGGTAATGCTTGAAAAAATAGTCCTTATAATGCATGTTAGTAAGTGGTACCCTATATAGAGTAGCAAAGGAAAAAAAAACATTCATGGAGGAAGAGATTTGAGGGGAGAAAACTTGAGATAAGGTAATCCAGAAGGCTTTTACAATAACATGAACAAAAGATGAAGGGAGCAACCACCACAGCAGGCAGACTGAGAATAATTCTGAAGGGCCCTAGGATTTTCAGAATGGTGAGTGAGTACTGGCTTTAGCTTCAAGTCACCGGTCACATTAGCCCCTACCAAGAGTCATCCTGACCTTTGAAGCTTTGAGGCCAGACACTGACTTCTCTGTAGTTACGAAGGTCCTAGATGGCATCGTTTTCCAGAATAGGCTCTCTCTGTCGAAATTCCGTTTGGCGTTGTCCCCTTCGTGAGGGATTTTAGCTAGATCTTCTGGATGACCTCCGGCTTCTGCATCTCCCTGGTTGTGGAGACGGCTTCTTCCCAAAACCTCTCACTGCGTCAGCCTCTGCTGGCTCCACACTCATCTCCTCCTCAGCTCTCCACTTTCATGGAATTGAGGAGTTAGGCCTTGCTCTGGTTTAGGCTTTGGCTTAAGGCGATGGTGTGGCTGGTTTGATCTTCTCCCCAGACCACTCAGACTTTCTCCATGTCAACAATAAGGCCTTCTCACTTTCTTACCATTCACTGTGTTCATTAGGGTAGTACTTTTTATTTCCTTCAAGAACTTTTCCTTGGCATTCACAGCCGCTGTTGGGTGCAAGAAGTGTGGCACTCAGCGCGTCTCAGTTTTTGACCTGCCTTTTACTAAGCTTGTTCATTTGTAGCTTTTGGTTTAAAGTGTGAGACATGCGACTCTTTCCTTCAGCTGAACAATTAAGAGGCGGCTGTAGGGTTGTTAACTGGTATAATTGCAATACTGTAGTAGCTCGGCGAATACGGAGGCTGGGAGAGAGAGATGGGACCACTGCCAGTTCATGGGACAGTCAGAGCACGCGTACTTGTTTAAGTCAGCTGCCGTATAAGGGTGTGGTTTGTGGCTTCACCATTACAAAAGTAGCATCAAAGATCACATATCACTGTCACGAAGGGAGTAATGAAAAGTTGGAAATACCGCAACACATAACCAAAATGTGAGATAGAGACGTGAAGTGAGCGAATGCTGTTAGGAAAATGGCACCAATAGACTTGGCTTGAAGTAGATTTGCTACAGACCCTCAGTTTGTTAAAAACAAAATTTGCAAAGTGCAGTAAAACTTGAAGTATCCCTGTGCTCATCTGTTCTTAAAAACATCGTTTTATTAGGCCAAATTTCAAGTGTACACAAAAGGAAAGGGAATCTAATGGATCTCCCTCTAGCTTCACTGGTTAGTTACCAGCATTTTCTCTGTCTTGTTCCCTCAGTCTGCCCCCACCCTGTGTTTGCCCTTGTGTTTTATAGTAAATTACAAACCTGTCATTTCACCTATAGGGACTTCAGTGTATTTTAAAACTTTTTGTAAACATTAATAACCAGGGTGGCATTATTCCTCTTAAACAATAGTAATTCCTTAATATTTATTTTTGGGGTTTTTCTTTGAATTCATTTGAGAGAGAGACAGTACTAGCAGGGGAGAAGCAGACTCCCTGCTGAGCTGGGAGCCCGACATGGGGCTCGATCCCAGGACCCAGAGATTATAACCCTAGCCGAAGGCAGACGCCCAACCATCTGAGCCACCCAGGCACCCCTCCTTAATATTCGTTAATATTTCCCCATATTCAGATTGCCTGTTATCCCAAATGATCTTATTATAGTTCCTTTGTTTGAGTGAGGGACCAAACATCAATTCTTTACATTTGGTTCCTATGTTTCTTAGACTCTTTTTAATCTATACTACTACTATTTTTTTCTTACTTTGAAAAAACTGGATCATTCTGTAAAATTTCCCACATTCTAGATTAAGTTTCCATCGTCATGGCATCATTTTAACATGTACACGATCCCATATATTCCATATAAATGGGAAGTTAAGTCCTGAGGCTTGATTAGGTTCAAGTTCAGTTATTTTGCCAGAACATCGCATACCTATGATTGCATCACACCCGGAGCACATGAGTTCTGGCTGCCTCCATTTTGTGAGGTTGGTAATGATCCCTGGGCTCAGCAGTTTGAGTCAGATTCTTCTGTTTTAATTTTTATTTTGTTTTAAATTTTTTTTAAGGTTTTATTTATTCATTTGACAGATCACAAGCAGGCAGAGAGGCAAGGAGAGAAAGAGGGAAGCAGGGGCGCCTGGGTGGCTCAGAGGGTTAAGCCTCTGCCTTCAGCTCAGGTCATGGTCCCAGGGTCCTGGGATTAAGGCCCACATTGGGCTCCCTGCTTGGCGGGAAGCCTGTTTCTCCCTCTCCCACTCCCCCTGCTTGTGTTCCTTCTCTCTCTCTCTCTCTCTCTCTCTCTCTCTCTCTCTGTCAAATAAATAAATCTTTTTTTAAAAAAAGGAATTATTTTTGATACAGTCAAAATAACGTGTTTTAGGGTAACGTGAATTCAGTGTTCTCAGTTGGGTATACCACCAACTTGGTATACAATAAGATTTATCTATCCAGTATATTTTAACGTTTCGGGGTTTTCTTTTTCTTTAGTTTGTTTTTAAGTATGTAAAATAAAATACTTTAATTGTTCCAAAGAAAAATGGTGCATGGCTGCTTTGGTCAGTGTATAATGTTGTGAGTGTATAATAGTGTATAATAGGGTGAGTTCCAAGCCCACACTGGGTGTAGAGATTACTTTAAAATAAAATCTGTTAAAAAGAAAAATTGTATAACTAAAACCGTAAAAAAAAAAAGTTGTTCTAGGGGCACCTGGTTGGCTTGGTTGGACAAGCACCTGACTTGATGTCAGCTGGTCTTGATCTGAGGGTTGTGACTTCAAGCCCCACTTTGGGCTCCCTGCCCGGCATGGAGCCTCCGTTTAAAAAAATAAGAATAAATAATGTAAGTGAACAAATGTAAATGAATATAAGTAAAATAAAAATTGTTCCAAAGAACATATGAGAAAACAAAATATACTCAGAGAAGTCCACAATTTCAGCCTCTTTCTACTCCACGTTGTTCCCTTCCTATTTTTAATTACTTTTCGGCTGTCCTTCCACTGTCTTTTTTTCTTAAAACTCTATACAAATCCATGTCTGTGTGAGGCAGCAGTACGTACAAGTTTGAGGCTCACTTCATCTTTCCTGTACAGTAACTGCAGTTACTCCTGTCCTCTGTTGATCAACACTGGGCTCTTTCCGTTTTCTGCTGTGACATCGTCCTGCAGGGAATGCTTTAATTCCTATCTTTTCCCTCTATGGCCATTACACTTCTTGGATAGATTGCCTGGAATACAGATTTCCCAGGCCAGCAGTTAGATGCATATACAGTTTAGCTAGATACTGTTAAATTTCCCTCCTTAGAGGACGTACCGTTAGCATTCCCGTTAGCATTGTACGAGTGACCACCGCCACACCAGTAGATCAGGTTGTCATAGCTTTGGGTTTTTACCAGCTAGGTGAGGAACTGTGTGTGTGTGTAAGATTTTATTTGTTTATTTGGAGAGCATGTGCATGCGGGGGTTGGGGAGCAGAGGGGGAGAGAGAAAATCTCAAGCAGACTCTGGCAAGCACAGAGCCTGACACAGGGCAGGATTCCACAACCTGAGCTGAAATCGAGTCGGATGTTTAAGCCACTGAGCCCCCCAGGCGCCCCATATTTGTGTCTCTTCAGAGTGAGTTGGGGCCGATTTTCATATATTCAAGAAACATTGCAAATGAACAAAAGATTTAAATGTAAAATAAAAACCATAAAAGTATTTGCAAAAACAGGCTTCTCGTGCATTACTGATGGGAGTGTCCATTCATACAGTCCCCTGGAGAGCAGTGTGGCAGTAAGTACCAGTATTAGCGATGCATGTGCCCTTTGACCCCGCAGGTCTGCTCCTTAGGAATTAATTCTGTACATACCCTCAGAAGCATACACGAGGATGTTGACTGTAACATTTTAATAGTAGAAACTCAGAAACAATGTAAATGCACCTTTTCAGGGGGCTGGTAGACAGTATTTCTGTAAGTTGTAGTACTGTGCAACTGTCAGAATAAGTAGCTTGATAGAGCCAAAGCAGGGTGCAGAGCTGTGTGTGTAGCGTCCTCTGGTGCTTGTGCTGCCAGGTTTCTTTGATTTTTTAATGTGCATAGAGTAATTTTGATAGATTTTATTAGAAACCGGGAATAAGGTTTGAGGTTGAGGTAGGAGGGAAGCCTTTTACTGTGTACTCTGCTTGTTGGAATTTATGACCTGTGTTGCAGCTGGTACCTTTCCTGATTTCAGAAAGTTTGTAAGTATAGATGGCTGTTAAGTAAAATAACATTCCCCTGTCCTGGCTGTCCCAGTCTCTGTACCATAGGTACCTGTTGTTGACATT